AGCTTGGAGGCTAAGGAACTTGTTTTGAGGTGTGGGGCGGGGGAGAAGTCTGTATTTAGAGAAATAAAGGTCCCATGTGTGACCTTGAGCAGGTATTACAGGGGTGAGGGTTACTAAAATAACCAGTAAAATTAAGATAGCCACTCTTGTTTGCAGCCTTGCAGTTCATTCATATCCACTATCTAGAAGGAAAGGCTACTAGCTCTTAAAAGGTTAAATTGAAATAATACTGCTCAAGCATTAGTCAAAGTCAAAGCAAAAATAACAAAACTGGTTCATCGCCACTTCTTCAAATGAAAAGAGTGCTGTCTGCATAAACTAAAATAATGTAATGTAGCGGGAAACCAATTCAGATTGAATCAAAATAGTCAATACCCCAAACCGCTAAGGGATGAATTAATGCACAGCCATATAGATTGATCTCACTCTACATATAGATCTCTGGTACATTTTGCAGCTGCTAAGGTTTGGTCATAGACTTCAAGGTTTCTTTCTAGGATACCAAAGCATTACATTAACAGCATTCATTCCACTCTTTAAAAAAAAAAAAAAAAAAAACAAGAAATACTTTTATTAAGCTTTCTATTTATCTTTAAAAGTGGGGGGAGGGAAGCAGGGGCTCACCCCTGGAAGTCACTGAGCAGTCTCATCCCGATCTAATAGATGGCTTAAAAACATGCTTAACTTTAAGGATTTGAGTAGTCCCATTGAAGTTGCTTGCATATTGATTCATCATGGTCAGTATGGATAAGGAAGTAATTCTCATTTGGGGCTTGATCCCTTAAGGCACTGGGCACACTAATCACAACCTAAGAAAACTTAATCACTAGTCTAATTTTAAAAATGACTTCAAGGGGACAACTTCTAAATATCTGCTGAATTGAGTCCAATAGTGTGTTCTCAGAGTTCCTGTGAACCACCAGGTCTGTATTCATGTACCAGATGAGAACCAATTCTTGTCATCTATCCCCATTCTATTTAGAAATTCCTCATGTGACCCTGTAGGCCTGGGGCAGCCCGCACTGGAAATGCCATGGTCAGGGCAGGCTGCAGAAGGAAAAGCAGATATTCCCTAAACTGGTGGGTAACACTGAAATTAAAGTAATACTTGTGGTATCTGAGAGACTAACAAATTTATTTGAGCATAAGCTTTCGTGAGCTACAGCTCACTTCATCAGGTGAGCTGTAGCTCATGAAAGCTTATGCTCAAATAAATTTGTAAGTCTCTCAGGTGCCACAAGTGCTCCTTTTCTTATTGCGAATACAGACTAACACGGCTGCTACTCTGAAAACTGAAATTAAACTCCCCAACCAGTTACAAACTGTGCTTCTGATCCCCCACACAGATTATCAAGAAGCGAAAATGAAATCACACAGCCCCCTTTATTGCATTCCAGTTCTCTGGCTCCCAATCAGCACCTAGGTTCAGTACAGTGAAAAGTTATTTTAAAAAATTCTGCTCACCACTACAAAATGCTCTTCTGATCCCAAAGGGTTAGCCATAATGCAAGATCAGTACAGGTTTGGATCTTACCCCAAATACCACGCTGCCAGCCAATCCTTTAGTGCCTAAAACTAAAGGTTTATTAAAAAGAAAAAAGGAACAAGAAGAGTTCACCACCCTCCATCCCAAAGTGGTCATGTGAGGGGGTAGTAGACAGCGGCATCCATTTAATGAGGTGCTCACTGCTCTACTTGACTTAAGTAAGCACGCACTCTGAATTAACACCAATTCTTTATTCCAGCAAACTCAAAACTCTGGCCCCACTCTTTTGTTCGTTGGTTTCTGCTCCTCCCCCCTCAAACTTCCTCTAGTGTTTTCAAATGTGTATTGTGTTAACCAACTCCTGTCTGCTTAGCATTAGGTCTGTAGACTATTCACCTCAAGCTTAGGGCCCCTTCTGGTGAATGGCTCAGATTCTGAACCCGCCAGTAAGACCCAGCTCACTAAAGCTACCTGAAACGTGCTGTTGGAATGAAGTGTGCACGCGTTCTGGTGTCTTTCATTCCTCATCCATTTTTCATGGGGGAAGGAGGTGGGACGCCCAGACAGCAGAGATGCAAACAGCCCAAAAAGTCAAGAGTATTCATTTGCCCAAGTTGCCCATATACATAATGGGTTTATAGCCTCAACATTGTGGATAATTCTTAATTTAGACATGCTGAAATCAGCAAAAACAAACCATGCCGCAAGGAGGTTATCTGCTGTAGTAAACAAATCCAGAGCTAAACACCATTACCCCTGCTGAGATAAGACAATGAGCCAGTTTCAACTCAAGAGCCGGCTCACAGAAAAGCCAAATTCCTGGCCTCAGATACTTTCATTCAATCCCCACTGAAGACAATAGTTGTGAACAAGTATCTAAAGGAGAGTTTCAGCTACGGGCTTCATATTACAACTGTCTTAATGCAAGTTCATCTTTTCGTACATGATGATATATGCGTTATCTTACAATATTAGAGACTAAGCAAAGAAATAGCTATTGCTGTAAAAAGGAAAGGCTGGTTGCACTGATGCATCTTTCTGATACAAGAACTCTTCCTGCCATCCATGCAAAGGTTGTTTTTTTTAATAATTGAAATGACTAGATCACTCTTAATATTAAGGTTGAACGGCCCAGACCCTACAGGGTTAACATTGGAGCCACTCCATTTAACCCTGACCTACCTGAGGGAAAAGAGGAAAATATAAGGAGCTGCAGCAGGGCATATGGGACAGCTGGTGTGAGCTGGAGCCTTGTCCACAGGTTCGTACGTGGAGAAGGTTGGAATTGCTGTCTTTGTTTTGCTACGGATGGTATTGTTCTGTTTAGACTCTTTTTAATTGATCATAAAAGTGGCCCTGGGAAGAAAGGACTACAACTGACTGACTGAAGGCTGCCTCACCGTTTCATTCTGTGGGCAGGGAAATCAGTGCACCAGCTCACAGGAACAATAATAACTCATTTATAAAGGAGGTAATAAATGATTAATAGCTACAATAAGCATTAGAGACATTTGTATGGGATAAGAACCTCAGTAGAAGGTGTTATCTATAAGTCCTGGTGAGAAGCAGCCTGTTGACCATATCATAACCTATAACAATTGATTTGTCATTTATTCAACAATTAATCATTAGTTAACTTTTTATAAACACTTCATAAATGAACTCTTTATATTAATTGTAACCAGTGATGTTTTTCAAATTATGCCATTTCTTTGTTATCGTCTATCGTTTAGATCATTGTTCAATTGGATTTCAGTGTTTACAATGTTTGTGTATGGGATATAGAAATATATATGATACAAATCAACATTTAAACATCTCTTACAGTATCATGGATATTACCATCATTTCCTCCATCTCTGTTCCGGCAGTCACTTCTCTTTACACAGAGCCTTTATTTATCTTTCTAGCTGTTCCTCAGCTTAGTTGACAATGCTGCAGCCCTTCCCAGCCCTCTTAAAGGCAAACACTTGTTTCCCAGCACATTAGTGAACTTATTTCAAAGTTCTTGAATGTAGGAAAATAAAAAATGTCACAGGAATCAATTTTCTTTTGTTGGTCAACTATTAGCCACCACTTAAAAAGGCTAAATCAGTACAAAAGGGGAAAGCGCTGTCAATGTTAACATGAACCCATTGGATCCAGCTTTCTTTGCTATTTACAAATATTAACAATGCTCTGGAAGCGCAAACATCTTCCAGAGCACTTCCGCACTATGCAAATTTAGGATGCTCCCTAATCTTGGTGCCAATAAAGCAATGTAATCCAGAAAAAAACATTTTACAAGACTGTATTTTTCAATATTAGTCCTTATATAATTCCACTGGAAGATGCTTCATTATGAATACAAGAATCATATATCCATTATTCACTTTGTTTTCATTTAACACTGAATAAAATATGGCTACTAAACAAAGAATCCGAGATATTTTTCAATAATCTCTTCATAATTCCTCTACAAATAAATCCTTAAATCAGGGATTGGAAAATGATATTGGTCCAAAACCTGGGATTTGTTATATTCAGTCCAATAAGAAAGCACAGCAAGATCAAGGGAGAAGTGACAATTTTAAGGTCCATTTTCTCAAGATCCAGTACTAGAATGGAATGCTTTACACTTCTGCAAAAACTTAGCTTTCCAGTGGTATACATCATTCATCTGTAACTAACCATCTGCAAGGCATTTGGCTGTTTGAGCCGTGCTGCAACTGAAGGGGTTAATGATCCTCATGTGACTTTAAGGTCTGATGTCTCATGACCTACAAGGATTAGAATTACATTGATAGACCAGTGCAAATACTTTCCGAACCAACCAGCTGTTCCCAAATACTGATCCTAAGACACGGCCTAATTACACATGGTCCACTTTGACTTACTCATTAAGCCTCATCCTGTTCCCATTCTTAGACAAGGCCAAAACTTCAGTGAACCAGAAAAAGGTGGCATTGACAGCGGCTTTGATTAAATGAAATACTGCGTGTACACTTCCTGTTGTTCCAAAATCTTGCTGCCTGCATAATACATAAACAGCATCAACAGCTATTCACAGTATGTGTTTAGGAGGAAATTTGAAGCTCTGGCATCTTACCTGTTAATGCTGGAGGTGAATTGTGGAGCTAATCATGAAAATATTCGCAAATGAAATACTTTATATCAAATATTTTAGCTAATACTCTCATTCCCCTCTTTTTCTTTTTTTAAAAAATCCTGCAATAGTGCACATTTAATATATTCTTTACTCATTTTATTAGACTTTCCATAATGTTTTCCAGTATGTTGGCTATTTCTTTGACAGACCCTGTCATAAACTGTCACTGAAAAATGTTTCCAATATCATGCAATTAACACCAGTTTTTGCAAGTAATGAGTGAGGTCAAGTTTACCTGTCAAAACAATGCATTTTGTCAAAGCCATCTGGGAGAAATGGGCAGCACCTGTTTCCACATCCTGCCTGCCTAATTAATTACAAAGGGCCTGATTCTATTCTGATACCATTTTTACAGCAATGCAACTCCACTGATTTAAGTGGTGACACTCCAGATTATCACCAGTGTGAAAACAGAAGCAATTGTTAAGCATCCAGTCAGTGAAGCGATTCTCACAAAAAATAAGGATCACCCAGACCGGGAACTCAACTTGAGCCAAATGCCTTTAACCAGGGAAGAGGTAAGATATGGATGAGAATTTTGCTTCATGTCCCCATCTCCACTTTGATGTTTATGGGAAGGATATCTCCAAAAATTCAGTGATTACCCCCCTTCTAAAGTATAAGGCAGATATTATAGTGTGCACAAAAGTAAAATTCTGCTCACTTTGAAAAGCAAGTTTTGTTTTAAATCAGACACAGGCAACTTTTTGTCAAGTGACGTGACTAGATTATTTCAATAGATCATAGTGTAACTTGCACTGGGCAGAGACATATGTCTGTTCATCCAGCCATCTTTATTCCAGAGTCCCGTGTGTCCACTTACCACGAAGGGTCAGTACCATCAGCACGCACCATAAGTCTCATCCATGGAGTGAAGCCACCATGGTTTTATGAGAATTATCCAGGTTGGAAATGAAAGTGAGAATTAGGGACTGATGCAGTAATCATTTACGCCAATGTAAAATGGGCATAACAAAAAATAAGTGATAGAATTGGACCTCCAGTTTGCACTGGTGTGACTACATAATGTGCAGGGCAACTGATTTAGATCCCTTTTCAGCTATTACAGTATGTACTATTTTGAATAACGTGCTCATAAGATGTAGATGTTATATTTTTACATTGTGTGTATTGCACATTTCAAAGTTTTTGCCTATTTATCACGTTTACATAATACATCTAAGTGATGCTTTTAGTAAGACATTATATAGACTACGGTACATTTCTGAGTTTTGTTGTTTTCTTAATTCCAGAGTACAAATGCAGTGAAATGCAGTTTGGGGATATTAAGCACACTAAGAATATCTTGCTTTTGGTTTTGAAATTGTCAATTAACAAGATTTGTAATTAAAAGAAAGGGGGGGGGGGAATGCAATTAAATTTGAGTCACTACGTAAATTAAGTGCTTTTATGTTTTTTGCTTTTCTGATAATATGCAGTGTTTTGCAGCATGTGAGACTAATTTAACTGAAGCTCGAATACCACATACAAGGAGCAACAGTATCTAAAAGCCTTCTAGAGAATTATAAAATTGTGATTAAAAAAGAAACTGACAAAGTAGTTATTTTAATACCAGCTCCACAACTAGCTATAAAGGACTAAATCAGAAATTCTGTGATTTCCCTTCCCCTCTTTGGGAACTTAATTTTAACTAACACTTAAATGCTAATAATGAAGTCCCTCTTTCACTTCCTTTGCTGGTGCCTGACCTCAGTGGAATTATTCTGGATACATACTGGTGCAGCAGAGGAGAGAATTTAACCCATTGTCCATGGAGAACTTGGTTTTTTCCAGAAACTTCTTCCTAGGACTATATGAGCTGGATCTTCAGTATGTGGAAACTGGCATAAAGCTCCACTGAGGTCAATGGTGTTACACTGAATTACACCACTGGAGGATCTGAACCAACACTTTTTCCAGCTGCTGTCTGTCTACAAATAGTCCTAGATTTTGCTCAACTCTATGTACAATTTAACTCACACTACACAAATGTAGGCACCCAATATCTGAGAGACAGCTAGACACAGTAACACTGGATGCCAGTCATCAAATAGTAACAATTCTTGGTTGCTACCAACCTTCTTCCTGACCCAAAGCCCATTGAAAGGCTTCCATTTACATCTGTGGGCTTTGGACTATGCCCTAATGCTGGATTTTAACCAATGATAAAGAATTTGTATACCATTGCCAGTCTCAGTCACCCTGTTGATGAAGGTCTAAATGTGGGGAAAGAATGTCCTACAGTATATCTGTCTCTGTGTTGAACCCCAGGTAAGTCTTTTCACACCACAGAATCTTTTCTTAACACATGTGAAGGAAAACTCACCCTTTTTTTTTTTTGTAGAAAGTTTAAAAAAAAAAAGTTTGCTGTAGAAATACAGAGATTAGCAACCCGAACTGTACTACCCACAGTGCTGACATCCATTATAGATTTCCATTCAATCTTAGCGACACTTGTGACATTCTTTCTCATACCGCAGCAGACTTGATTCTAAATTGTCCCCACAGAGAACAGCATTGCTTGATATATTCAGAATTAGATTGGCTAGATGATCTTAATTCAAGAAAGTACTGAATTCGTCTGTGGTTCATCTATAACGCAGTAAAAGGAAAATTCCCCAGCTAGACAAGTAAATTATTAAGTCATAAGTCTACATGTTATAATTTGTATATAGTAATAACTCATCTAAGTAGGATTGAATATGCTTATGGTTAAAATGAGGTAGTGAACTGAATTGGAAATGGTTACTTACAAACACAGGGCCAAATTCTGACCTTGGATGTACATCTGAGGGCAGAATTTAGCCTAAAGGATTCCCTCCCTATCCATGGATAAACTGGAAATTTGACTGTTGGTGCAGTAATTACCAACCTCCCAGAACTTAATCTCTGTGGTGATGATTGGATTTGGGAGCAGTAGAGATAGACATTGCCTCTTCCCAGAAAGGTGTAATCAAGAAGAAGAGGCAGGACATTACACATCATAAACAAGGAAGCGGTTGAGGCCCAATCCAAATGACAATGGCAGCCTTTCTGCTTATTTTAAAGGGGTGAGTGGACACACATGAGTAGATACACTGAGTAGTTGGTTATAAGCAGTTCATAACACTTCTAACCCCAAAGAGATACTAGCACTTTTTATTAGCAGAAACATACTATTCTCATTATAAACCCCAAAACATATTAACGGGTACTTCAACCAATAATAAGTCCATCTTCAGTGTAATAAACCTATGCATACTATACCAATCATACATGTCCATGAGCTATTCTAAAATAATCATGGGTTTAATATTCCGGTTTTTATAACACTGGTCCTATGGCAGTTTGTTGAATATGCCATCTTGCTCCCATTGAAGTACTTCGCACTTGTGTAGGTACTTGCCTATTTGAACTGTTTTATAAGCCCAGAGTAGCCAACAAAACCCTCAGTTTAGTACAGACTTCTTGACGGTGTGGTTATTTTCCCCCTTGGCCCTGCTAAAGCTGAGTTTGCTGTAATGGGTCAGGTCTGATGCTGGTTTTCCTGTCTGTACACTTAGGTAATTAAAATAACAAATCTTCACAGCTGTCTGCTTTGGATTCATCCTTATCACCATAAACTAATTAAAATAATGCAACTGGTAGCATCTCATTAAGTACCAATCATACTTCTCAGATAATTATAATACTAAAATTTAATTTTTCAGGTTCATCTCTTCTTTCTCCTTTAGCTACTGTAATTATTTTCCTTGGGTATCTACCTACTGTTAACGATTTTTGTTTCTTCTTTGTTCTCTGATACTTTCTTACCATTATATGTTCTGTACCTTTTCTTCCTCTCTAAGATGTTCAAATGTTTAGGGATTCCCTTCAGTTTGGATAAGCACCCCAATTTTTCTAAACTTATCCTGAACTCTATCTGCTTCATGAACTAGAAAAAAAATATCACAAGCATGGCCCCTGATTCAGCAGAGCACTTAAGCACATGCTAAGTTTTAATACTATTGGTAAGACTACTCATCTACTTGAGTGCTTTGTTGAATCAGGGCCACAGTTGTGTGTGTGTGTATGTATGTGTGTGTGTGTGTTTAGTTGTGCCCAACCTGGTTACAATTATGATTCCAATACATAGATTAGAACTCTTTTATTGAAGACCTGCAGTTTGATTACAAAACACCATTTCCCCCTACATACTGGACCCATGATTGCAAGTGGGTTAGGTGATACCCTATTGTAACCAGGTTTTCAGACCTGGTTGCATTTATAGCATATAAATAAAGAGGAAAGCCTTTGAAAAATAGGGAGGATTACACATTCCCTCAAGACCAGTAGGAGGGATGGGGGCAAGAGGAGGTTGCTCCCTTTCCTTAGAAGTCAGAAGAGCATAGCATCATAGAGTGAGGTGGGCAGAATCTTCTGGCTGAGGTGGAAAGAAAGAGGACTCAATGAGTCCATGATATTCTTCACCATTCTCCTCTGGAACCCAGTTGCGCCTTTTGGCTGATCTGTAGGTCAGCAATAGAAGAACTTCTGTTACTTCCCATGTATCTACAGAGGCCAGGAGTGCTGGACACAGGCTACAAATCTTTTCTTCCTAGTCAGGAGCTGGGGAGATGCCCGCTCTAGTGGCCAGTCAGAGTTAGGAAAGTGATATAACACTCTAGTTCTTCCTGGTATATGACTAGGCATGCTAAGGGTTGGCACACATTGGCTTATTTGATATTGGGATATCCAGCTATAATAAATATTCAGCAAATATATTATTTGCTTCAGTCATCACTAATATTAATGTCATGTTAGTTGAAATATATCCATCCAAATTTTGGAAACATGCAATTCACAGATCTCAAAAAGTGAGAATTGATTTCTGGACACTATGTGCTATATGTCTAGTGTACACTGGAGGTGGCATTTCAAAAACTAGGCCATATATTATCCCTTATAATAGGGACAATATGCTGGACCAACTCATGCACAATAAGAAACTCTGATCTCAGGGTCTGATTGCCAGCCCTACTTTTTACTTAGTCCCCCCACTAATCAGACATGAAATTCTTTAGATAGATAGATAGTTAACTTGGGTCAGATGTTGGTAGAGCTGGTTAGAAAATGCTATATATTTTCTTTGAAAAAAGAAAAGTTCACATTTGCTGCAGAATTTTTCAACAAAATAAAATATTCCCCCCACACCTTTCCTCCCTCCCCAACTGGAAAAGAAGGGAGGTGCAATGAAAAAAGGAAGAAACTTAAACATTGAAACCCTGCATTTTTTTTCTTTGAAAATGTTTGACCAAAACAAAAATATTTGTTACTTGAAAAGTAATTTTTTATTGAAAATAAATTTCAATGAAAAAACATCAATTGCTCTACTTCTGGGTATTGGTATGAACTCTTCCTACAGTCCCAGAAATGCCTAGGAAATCTAATAGAACTGATCAGGCAGGTATGTAAATACTTTGATGCTCCACTTACGCAACAGCTGGAATTCAGTGTTGCTATATATAAAACAAAACTTCTCTCCACAGATTTTACTGGG